TGTGACCTGACTTACTGATCATATAGGTGTATAATTCTGTCACTGTTCTGTAATTTACCAAGTAGGCTGATTTCATTCAGATATCCTTGTACTATCACCTCATCAGCAAACTCTAAGTTTACATCTTTGATTGCATACAATTTCTTCTTTTGTTCATCAAATACTTGATATACCTAAAACATTCAATGGTTAATCAACATAGAGCACTAATTCAGCCAATTATCTTCATATAAATACAACAATAGTGAAGTACAATCAATACATTTAGTATCGTTAGTATTTTGTAGAATTCAAGCATTGGTATCACATCTTAAGGGAGGAGCCTACTCATCATTTTTGAAAAAGTCCGTCATAAATCGCATGACAATGTTCATTGGTTTATGTAAAATCATGAAGCTAATGTCCCATGGCACCATAAAATAGCATTCTTCTGTGTGTTACAGTTACGTAATTTGAGAAACTTGTCCCAGTATTTAAAAAAAACTATTTTTAGAACAATTCCATCAAGCACAACTAAAATTGTATTTCCAAAACTTTATAAAACCCAGATTTTAGATATTAGGCATAATCAACTTACTTTACTTGATCCACCTTTCCCAATGACTCTCAGAACATTATAAGGTCTCCCATTGACAACAAGAATATCCTTTTTAATAGTGGATGTCATTTGCATTGGCTGCAAGAATTAAAAACACAAACTGAATGAAGTTATTAGTTATTAGCCGATAAGTAGCACAATGTGAAATTTTGGAAAACTTTCAAGAGTCACTTAAAAGTTGAATATATAGCAATACAAGAAAAACCAGGTAGATAGTAATTACAGTCCAAATCAGATCTAATATACACCAAAATATGTCAACATGGCCATTACAGGACTGCAGTCAGCAAGCTATTCCAATGATTGCTGAGTGATCTTACAGTGGATGCAAGATATTCACATATACTTGTTTTTGCGAAATGTTCAAAATAGAATTTATTAAAGGGGAGCAGAGGTCTGGCTTTTGACACTCTGTACATGAAATTTGAGATCTATGAATGAATTCTGTCGATAAAAACAACTTGTATGTGCAGCGAAATGCCCTAAATATCGGGTATAAAACAGGCTGTGAAGCAGACGACAAACATCTGCTTGGCCTGGCGTCATTTCGCCATTCATTCTCGTACGTCAATCCCTTAGAAATGCTACTATGACAGACCTTGTTTACTGACTACCTTAAAGTTGAAACATGGAGAGGTGTTGTGCGTATGAATGCCATAACGATTCATGTTAAGTTTCTAGAAATCCCAAATAAAAAAATCACGTTGCTGGTTGCGAGAAATCGGCAGAAGAACTAACCTGAAAGTGAAGACACTACAGCGTTCTGGCTATAGTAAACAATGAGTGAATAAATATTGTACGAGTTAAAACTAAATTAAAAATACGCTGAAATCACTTGAACTACCGTACTCATTACGCCTAACTTCTCACTTTTTAATCAATCGCTTAATTTCCAACCGCACTGTATTTTCCGACCGGAAAACTGCCGCATTTTTATCGTTTTTTTCCCTCGCTTATTGAAAATAGCGACCGCTCGCCCAAACACTGGTCACTGGCTCAAGAGTGGTCGAAATGGTGGTTTTTAAGATACAGTTTGGGAATACAACGAGTGTTAACTATTATAAATCTATACTACTTTGTATCGTTCATGAACGCAACTTTATCTGTGTCTGACAGATATTAGAGCTGGTACAATATTGTAAACAAATGCTATGATATCTCAGTCATATCACTATTTTATACACTCCCTTTTTTATTCTGGTTTGCACAAACGTTGAATAGCCGTCAAAAATTCAAATATATTTAGTTTATAGCTATCTATAATTTTATGCACGCAATTTGACCCCTTGACCTAGATTTGATTGGATGGAATATTTTATTTTAAACAATATTCTGATGTTACTTACTGCCCCCAAAATGTTTCATTGCAATTGCGGTATGAGTGTCTGATTTATAAAGTACATCAGGTAATATATTAATAACCATTCTCACCTATCGCTAGCTTTAGGGGAGAGTAGGAAATCAAACAGCGACATGTCGCCCCTTTTAAGGATAGATTTTGATTTCATGACGCAGTCTGACCGCGGTCGGGTACTACGGTAGAGGCTTGCAAGCAATTCACACTTATTGTCAAGACCATGAATGAATACAAAGGACTGGGAAATTAAAAGAATTATATTGCCACAAAATTCCAAAAAAATAAATAAATGTGGCTGCACCGAAACTAGTGTATAATAGTTTGCTGAAGACTGAGTGATCAACAACATCATTTTGGGACGCAATTGAACTTTAAGAACTTCATTGCGGAACTTACTGCGCGGCAATGCTGACATCTAGTGTGTGTTGACCAAAGTTTGACCCACAAATCACGCACTGAACAGGCGTGTTACCTTAGCAATCTTTTTCTTTCATGCTCCGCGCGTCAATCTTGTAAAAGTGTTATTAGTTCTGACGCTGCTGTAATTACGCAATTTTGTATATTTTAAGATCGTTTACTTAGTGTGCTGCTTTTCTAATTACGCAAATTTGTTTACAATGTTGTACCGGCTCTAACAATTCAACAACAATTCAACCCAGTTATTTAATATTGAACACAGATGAAGTTTCCTCCGCAAACGATACAATGTGGTATAGATTTGAAGAGTAGAATTTAATAATAGTTAGAACCCTTTGTATCCCCAAACTATATCACTAAAACCACCATTTTGATCACTAATGTGCCAGTGACCAGTGTTTGGGCGACCGGTCGGTGTTTTCAATGAGCCAGCAAGAGAAAAAATACAATAAAAATGCGGTCGTTTTCCAGTCGAAAAATACACTGCGATCGAAAATTAAGCGATAAGCGATCAGTTAAAGGTGGGAAGTTGGGCGAAATGAGTACTGTAGTTCAAGTGACATTAGCGTATTTCTAATTTAGTTTTAACTCGTACAATATTTATTTACTCACTGTTTAGTATAGATAGAGTGCTGTACGTGTCTTCACTTTCAGGTTAGTTCTTCTGCCGATTTCTCGCAACCAACAACATGATTTTTTATTTGGGATTTTGAGAAACTTAACATGAATCGTTATGGCATTCATACGCACAACACCTCGCCATGTTTCAACTTTTAAGTAGTCAGTAAACAAGGTTTTTCATAGTAGCATTTTTATGGGATTGACGTACTAGAATGATTGGGTTCAATTATCACTGTTCACCGATGACATCATTTGACTGGCCCTCTAGAGGCAAAATGACACCAGGCCAAGCGGGCGTTTGGGCATTTCGCAGCACATACAAGTTGTTTTTATCGACAGAATTCATTCATAGATCTCAAATTTCATGTACAGAGTGCCAAAAGCCAGACCCCTGCTCCCCTTTAAATGAACAGGCATATATATGCATGAAATAATAAAGTGACCGATATCAACAATGAGTAAAACATGATTGTTTAATAAATGTTTTACTGGACACTTACAAGTTGTAATAGTTGAACCCATCTGAAACCCTGGTCCATTGTTTTGATTAACTGTCATATAGGTGGGTACTGTATTTTTCTTCAATTAGAAGCCACTTTGTTACACTTTCATTTTATGGTAGCGTTTATTTGTGCTTAAATTTAGGCAACTTTGTTTCAAATGGCACTTATTTCAAGCACTTCAAGTTCTTGTAACTGTGTTTCAAGCCATTGTTCTTGCTCCATTCTGGTGATACATCAATTTATTGGCAATATTTTACATTACAGTCTGACACTTAGTCACTGTAGCCTTTATTTTAAATACTAAATAAATGACCTGTTTTCGGACAGTCTAGAAAGTTATATAAAAAGTATCATCCTTTAGAAAACATTCACAGTTTGCCTACGATCAATGAAAAAAAAAAAGAAACACAAAAGCATTGCTTAGTAGCAAAGGATCACGGTAGCAAAATCCGGTCATGCGTTTCACAGTTATGATTATTACTCAGTAGTAATTATAATAACGTACAAAAAATAAAGAGCAAGTAAAATTCAATTTAATTAGATCGTAAGTGAATGATTCCGGTCGCATGTAAACGCTTGATGAGATACGATATTCGCCATGCCTCCTGTGTAGGAGTTAATTAACCAATCAAAATCATTCGAATAATGTATGAAGGCAACACGGAAGAGATTTGCCGATGTTTGCGATCTTCTGGCTTTGGTTTTGATGGGAAAACGGCATGATGTTTTTTTTTTTCAAATCAAGAAATTAGTTATTTTCGAAAGTTAAACTGAGCATTTGAAGAATAATTTAACATTGTTTACTGTGATAACAGCTCATTTGAAACAACATTTTCGCGTAGTTTTTATTTTGATTTATGGACTTACCAGGAAATTCGCTAAATTAAAAACTACACGAATATTTTCTACTTCTACAGTAGACAAAGGACACATGTTTCAAGAGAATATAGATGGATTTCTCAAAATTTGTTAGAAACAAAACCAATTTTTTTTGCATTAAAGCCCATTGTACAGTAGCAGTGAGCATGGACATGTTAGTACGTCCATGTAGTGAGGGACTTCCGCAATAGCGTCTATCGCTACTAACCACTCTGGCTCAGTTTATGTAAGGGGGTCCCACAGGGGTCTGTTTTAGGGCCAGTACTTTTTAATACTTTTGTAAATGACCTTTTTGCAATATCTAGAAATATATCACTTTATAATTATGCTGATGACAATACTATATCAGCTACTGGTGTAAATAAAAATGAGCTGATAAACAACTTAACTCAATAGTCAGAAATAGCTGTCAAATGGTTCAAAGATAACATGATGGAAGCCAATATAAATAAATTTCAAGCAATTATATTAAATGACCAATCTGACAATACCACTTTTAGTATTGGAGGTGTTGCTCTTGAAACTGAGATTAATATTGATCAGAATTTAAATTTTCATCATCATGTTAGTGTTCTGTGTAAACGGGCAGGTGCCCAATTGAAAGTTTTGCAAAGAATGTCGGGCTATTTAGATCAAGCCTCAAGACTATGTATATTTAGATGTTTTATTTTATCACATTTTACTTATTGTTCTTTAGTTTGGAATTTTTGTGGTAAAGTAAACATTGCTAAGATGTGTACAATGATTTTCAGTCCAGCTATCAAACTTTATTAGAACGTGCTGGACTACAAACACTAGAGATGTCCAGGAATTGTGACATACTTGTTGAAGTTTATAAAAGTGTGAACAAACTCTCCCCATCTTTTATGTGGGATTTATACAAGGAGAAAAATTCTCATCAATTACAGTTAAAGCGACCAAGGACAAAACGCTATGGACGAGTCATTGTCTTATTATGGTGCTAAAATTTGGAACTCCTAACCGAATAAAGGAGTGCAGTATTCTTTTAAGCAAATGGTGTCATTGTGGTCACCATCATTTTAGGATATTTAATTACTTAAACAATTAATTATTTGTGAAGTCTTACTGTTGTTTTTCTCTGTATTTGATGTTTGTAATTTTTGCTTTTATTTGATGTAATTTTTAGTAGTCAGTGATATTAGCCATTGGCTAGGTATTTCAAACTGACTTTAAATAAACAAATTGAAAATTGAAATTGAAACCGGTAACCAGTAGTTGATTCGCCAGCACCCAATTCATGATCATTACATGCCAAAATTTCAACTCTGGCATTTAATTGGGGTGTAAAATACGATGTTTTCGTGACACTGGTGGCTAATTGAAGGTGGCGCTCAACTGAAGACAAATACGGTATGTAACTTCATTGCATCTACAATGGTCACTGTAGTGTCTATGAAAGTGTCTGGGAATGTTGCAAAGCTCCTTGACAATTGCCTACTGAGTGCAGGAGTTAGGTGTAAGTAAATATCTTGCACACGCTGTAAAACATTTCAGTGGCATGTTCATTATTATGTTCATACTAAAGTAAAACAATTTACAAAACTAAAACAAGTGTTCGATTAGGATAGATGTAAGGATAAGAAACAATATAAAATACACACTGAAAATACATACCTGCATTATAACATGATTGCTTGCATGTACAGCAGCTGGGTTAGCATACTGGGGAGTGAATACAAGTTGTTGTAATGGTACTACCTGTTCAATGTTCTTACATTCATGTACCGGTTTGCTGTCACTAAGAAATAGAAAACACATATGAACATTGATTCAGCAGTCACCTGGACTCATCTATTCATTTCTGGGTGTAGGTAACTAACAAGCTTTGTGACAAGCAGCTATTGAGAAATCTGAAGAAATCAAACTTGTGCTGAGGGCACATGAAATATAAAACAGGAATCTTTACAGTTCAAATAAGTCTGCTTTTTGAGATGCATAATGTGTAATCCACAGTATTATACTTTTAGACAGCTATAGAAATGTTAAAATAAAATAAATATGATGGTACAGCTGTAGTTTATCCAAAGCACCTACATTAATGTATGCACCAAGTTTAAATCTGCATTAATATACATGGATCTCAACCCTAAAGTAAGATTGTATTAAAGCTTATATGAGTATAAAAGTATGCACAAAGATACAACAGCAGGAGTATCACTGAGGACGATGTATACAAAGTATGCCCTTGGACAGTACAATATGCTACGTGTACATTTCGGACTCACCTGTGCAACTGTGGAAATGGAATTGGCTGGCGTTGGCGCAAAGCACAGCGTTCTACTGATCTATCAGCAATATCACACATCTCCACATCATCAGCACATGCTTTCTGGGATTGCAGTAGTGCTCTATTTTCACTGTTCATAACAGACAACAATTTAGGAACTTCTGGAGTGTTTATTGATGTCGCACACACTGGACTCTCTGATATACTAGAAAGGGTTCCTTGTCTACCTTGCACATGTACTAGATTTCCACTGACCCGTGACTTGCTATGCAAATGGTCTACCATTGAAGGGAAAGAAATGCCACTGCCTTTACCAGCTGCTTCATGATCAGGTGTAAGTTCACTTCTCAATAAACTGTCATTACCAGGTGTAATTTGATTATCATTATCAAGAGGTTTTATTCCATGTAGCATATCATAATCATCATTGTCATCATCATCATAGCCTGGGTTTTCACAAACTTTAGGTAGACTTGTTCTTTTCAGACGAATAGCCCCTCCAAACATTGATGAACTGAAATATAAAAGACATCAAACTAAGAAATGCTTAGTACAAGAGCTACACATGAAGTTTTCATTTACTTTTGGGAGTCACTAATAGCTTGGCTGTTAAACTAAGTGATAGTACTCACCCTCTAGATGCCCTTGATGGTCCAACTGTTGCTGCTAAATTTAGTGATGGTTTAGCATCAGGTGTAAACACAGAACCTCGGATACTTTTACTTGCACTCTGACTGATGTGTTGAAACTACACAACAAAGACAATGAGTTACCCGGTACTAATATACTGATATTATCATTAGAACACCAAAAACTACGTACAAAGCAGTATGACGATCATATCAACTGACATGTAACAGAGGTCAATGATACTCCACACTGCTGAAGTGCATATTTCTGTATTCTCGCAATAACCTTATTATTATACATGTTTTTCTGGTTGTAGTAATAATTTAATGAAAGATTATAGTCTGAAATGGCAACAAAAAATGTTTTGTGTTGTACAAATTTCCAACAAGTGCTATTATTTTGCGTTCAATTTAAACAAACAAAAGTGTTCAATTTAAACGTCAATATTCTTGAACACATCAATGTTGGTATGCCTTACAAATCAATGCAACATTGTTTCAACATCTGGAATACAGCATGTTTGTTTGAATTGGAAATGACAATGTGGTTTTATGGAGAAAGGTCAGCACATTTGGTGTTGTATATAACAAAATTCTACACAGTGAAACAATCTACTTAAAACTTAAATTTACACGTTACTCAAACATAATTTCAAAATTGCTGCAATATTAGTTGACAAATATATTAAACTTGAAAACACCAGTAATGTCATTAGCTCCTACTTGATTGTGAGTCACAAAGAAACCTCAATCAGTTGCTTCATATGTTGAACATTTCCAATGATGCAGTGAATACCATATGACTAGAGCACAATATTTGAGTGTGTGCTATCAAATAACCAGTTTGAGTATATTGTCACATGACCAGTAAGTTCAAGGCTAGTATGATAAGGATAATATGATGTAAAAGTATTATCAAAACTGGATGCAGCTTGCTGACATAACTTACATGCTCTCTCACTGCGGTGTTCTTTTGGGCTGTGGTAGGTAACTGTAAAGGTATAGTATCATCTTTCTCATCATTCACTGGCAATATTGCTGAAGATCTATTAAAAGACAACAAAGAGTTGGAACATAATCAAACTACTGCAGACAGCTTACATCGGTTATCGCTTTACATAGCCAAATCCCTAAATAGTCAAATGCCCTTTTGGAGAGCTAAAAAAAAAACTTACCTCACTTTTCTTTCTAAATTAACACATGCAAATAATTTCGCAACACATTTAAATCACTCCCATAAATTGCCTCAGTGCTTTTAGAAGAGGTATTTTTCTATCTGTAGTCATTTGCAAAAGACAAGGCTTGACAAACCCAGATAAGACTATGGAGATGTCAAACTGAGAGTGAGAGGAAAACAAAATGTCAATACACATGAAGACAGTAGTGGACAATGTGTCAAACATACCTAAGTGATGAAACTGTATTTAACTCCTCACAGGGCGATTCCTTGCTTCCACTACTACTACTACTACTACCACTACCACTATTATTTGCAAGCCATGAACCACGTCTGGATAAACCTTCTTCACTCATCTTTGCAGCAAGGGAGATACCAGTAACTCTGTCTGTAATGTATGAAAAGTCACAGTTAATCATGTACTGTAAAATATTTTATTTTAGCTGGAATTTAATTTTTGCTGAAAAAACTTTTTGGATATGAAATTCATTTTTAAAGAGTTGAATGTAAAATATAGGAAAAAAGGTACCGGTATATTCACTGGATTTTATTTTCACTGAATCATTCCTTCAGCGAAAATTAATTCCAAGTGAAAATAAAGAATTTTACAGTATACTGTAATTTGCTTTCACTTTTGGGATTTTTTGTAATTTGATGAAATTTATCAGCACAAAATTTCACACTTTGTGCCATAGAGTTATAACTCAATGATTCATTCATATTTCCATACTGACTCCTTAGATACCTCAGGTAGAGTTATAACTGAATTATTCATTCATATTTCCATACTGACTCTTTAGATACCTCAGGTAGAGTTATAACTGAATTATTCATTCATATTTCCATACTGACTCCTTAGATACCTTAGGTAGAGTTATAACTGAATTATTCCTTCATATTTCCAGACTGACTCCTTAGATACCTCAAGTAGAGTTAAACTGAATTATTTATTCATTATTCCATACTGACTCCTTAGATACCTTAGGTAGAGTTATAACTCAATGATTTATTCATATTTCCATACTGACTCCCTAGATACCTCAGGTAGGGATATAACTAAATTATGCATTGGGATTTCCAGACTGACTCCTTAGATACCTCAAGTAGAGTTAAACTGAATTATTTATTCATTATTCCATACTGACTCCTTAGATACCTCAGGTAGAGTTATAACTGAATTATTCATTCATATTTCCATACTGACTCCCTAGATACCTCAGGTAGGGATATAACTAAATTATGCATTGGGATTTCCAGACTGACTCCTTAGATACCTCAAGTAGAGTTAAACTGAATTATTTATTCATTATTCCAGACTGACTCCTTAGATACCTCAGGTAGAGTTATAACTGAATTATTCATTCATATTTCCATACTGACTCCCTAGATACCTCAGGTAGGGATATAACTAAATTATGCATTGGGATTTCCAGACTGACTCCTTAGATACCTCAAGTAGAGTTAAACTGAATTATTTATTCATTATTCCATACTGACTCCTTAGATACCTCAGGTAGAGTTATAACCCAATGATTCAATCATATTTCCATACTGACTCCTTAGATACCTCAGATAGGGTTATAACTGAATTATTTATTCATAATTCCATACTGACTCTATAGATACCTCAGGTAGAGTTATACCTGAATTATCCATTCATATTTCCATACTGACTCCTTTGATACCTCAGGTAGAGTTATACCTGAATTATACATTCATATTTCCATACTGACTCCCTAGATACCTCAGGTAGGGATATAACTAAATTATGCATTGGGATTTCCAGACTGACTCCTTAGATACCTTAGGTAGAGTTATAACTGAATTATTCATTCATATTTCCATACTGACTCCCTAGATACCTCAGGTAGGGATATAACTAAATTATGCATTGGGATTTCCAGACTGACTCCTTAGATACCTTAGGTAGAGTTATAACTGAATTATTCATTCATATTTCCAGACTGACTCCTTAGATACCTCAAGTAGAGTTAAACTGATTTATTTATTCATTATTCCATACTGACTCCTTAGATACCTTAGGTAGAGTTATAACTGAATTATTCATTCATATTTCCATACTGACTCCTTAGGTACCTCAGGTAGGGATATAACTGAATTATGCATTCATATTTCCATACTGACTCCTTAGATACCTCAAGTAGGGTTAAACTGAATTATTTATTCATATTTCCATACTGACTCCTTAGATACCTCAGGTAGAGTTATAACTGAATTATGCATTCATATTTCCATACTGACTCCTTAGATACCTTAGGTAGAGTTGTAACTCAATGATTCATTCATATTTCCATACTGACTCCTTTGATACCTCAGGTTGAGTTATAACTGAATTATTCATTCATATTTCCAGACTGACTCTTTAGATACCTTAGGTAGAGTTATAACTCAATGATTTATTCATATTTCCATACTGACTCCCTAGATACCTCAAGTAGGGTTAAACTGAATTATTTATTCATATTTCCATACTGACTCTTTAGATACATGTACCTCAGGTAGAGTTATAACTCAATGATTCATTCATATTTCCATACTGACTCCCTAGATACCTTAGGTAGGGATATAACTAAATTATGCATTGGGATTTCCAGACTGACTCCTTAGATACCTCAAGTAGAGTTAAACTGAATTATTCATTCATATTTCCATACTGACTCCTTAGATACCTTAGGTAGAGTTATAACTGAATTATTCATTCATATT